TGTGTGTGTGTGTCTGAGTTTGTATTGATATGAGTATTGTTTGTCTTTTGAAGTATATGCGCGCAAGCGTGTATTCTAAGGTCTATACATTTTGCAGAGAACCGTAAAACCTTACCTCGGCTCGTCAAGCACTTGCAATTTGTTAGTTGTTCGGGGGCATATCTACATCTACAGGTTTACGTATGTATGCAACAAAGAGAGAGGGAAGAAGAGAAAGAGAGAGAGACAGAGAGACAAAGAGGGAAGAAAAGAAAAAGAGAAAGAGAGAGAGAGAGAGAGAGAGAGAGAGAGAGAGAGAGAGAGAGAGAGAGAGAGAGAGAGAACAGAGAGAGGGGGACAGAGAGAGAGAGAGAGAGAGAGAGAGAGAAGAGAGAGACAGAGAGAGAGAGAGGACGGACACTGAGAGAGACAAACAGACAGACTGATAAACAGACAAGATAGAGAGAGAGAGAGACAGAGAGAAGGAGAGAGAGAGAGAGAGACAGAGAGAGACAGAGAGAAGAAGAGAAGAAGAGAAAGATAGAGAAAAAAACAAGAGAGGTGGTGACAAAATCTAGAGACATACCATTATTATGTATGGCCTTTTCTCTTCATTTTAAATACTTATTATTCATAGAATGCACTCTTTATTTATTTCTGCAGCTTTATCAGCAGTATCGTGCTATGGTGAAGAGAACCCCGAGCGCAGATCAATGGCTTAACCAAAGAAAATCCCAGACCTCCATACTCAAGAACCGTGAACACGAAGAAATTGCCAGACGGTACCACCGCATTCTCCGTATACACAAAGCGCCGGCACATCTCCAAGACATGGTGGCCAGAGTTAGAAATTACGTCATGTTGCAAGCCGGGGTGTACAGGAACTTGATGGAAGAAGAAGAACCCGATGAATATGCCAAACAGGATGTTTCCCCCACGGAGGAAGAAGACGAACTGGGAGAAGAAGAAGCAGAAGAAGAAGAAGACGGTGTCGAGAATTTTGATAAACTAGCTTTGCAGAGTTTCATAAGAAGACATACTGTTACGGGTGACGCCATTTTGAGAAATCTTCCCGAAGCGCAAGGGTATTCGGAAGAAGCGCCTCTTTCCAGGTTACGAAGGAGAATGTCGACGTGCGATATTAAGCATATCAAGGGCATTTTGGATTGTAGAGATGGCGCAGTATCAGCTGCTGCGACTGTTGACGATGTGTGTTATCAACAGGGGGAGGGGCAGGGGAAGGAGGAAACAGTTAGTGAGGAGGAGGAGGATAACGAGGAGGAGGAGGAGAAAGAAGAGGAGGAGAAAGAAGAGGAGGAGGGCGAAGGGGTGGAGGAAGAATACGACAATGAGGAGGAGTACGAGGAAGAGGAGGAGAGGGAGGCAACGTTTCAAACTAACGGTAGTGTGTAGAAAAGGAAGGAAAACGAAATGATTGGGAAGAGGAGGAGGGGTACTGCTGGTGGGAGGCTAGAAGAAACTGTGTACAGTTTCGGTCTGTTGTGGACAGCACTATAGATGGATGTAGAACAGAGGAAATCGTTTTTTCGAAGAGGTCACATAAGAATGATTTCTTTTTTGTTGAGAAACAGCTGATTTATTTGTGTTTTATATCCATGCCAATTGCTTTAACCTACAAACTTTTGTTGGTTTATTTTTATTCTGCTGCATTTTCTGAGCAGGGATTATTAAGTTTGCTCGCATACTATGATAGTTGAGAGAAATACAGAGATGTGAGGGGTTAGGGGGTGCCACTGGTAGGTCCTTCGTCTTTACTTTCCATCTGTTGTTTGTGTTTGTCTATCTTACTTTTCCTCAACAGTAAATGGCCATTATTGTGTCGATGTTCTTTTATCTATTCAAACAACCAGAAAGACAGGAGACATAGCGAGAACTGAAGAAACAGACAAAAAGGTGGTTCTGAGAGGGTGGAGGTGTGAAATGGAGGGACTTGAGACATTGGGAGTTCGGGTGGGGAGGGGGCAATAAATTGTTTATTTTCTCCCAGGGCAAGCTCACATAAGCCTCAATGCACAACCTCAGAATTATGAAGTTCTATTAGACATTTTTGACAACTTTGAGTCACTCAGGCCATGAGGTCAGAAACCAAATGTTCTCTCTGCTCTATCAAAATCTTAAGATTATTCGAAGTTTTTGTCAATACATTCAAAGAATAGCATTTGGAAAAGCTTGACATGATGTGAAACTCAAATCTTTGACGTCAAATTTCTCAAAACTATGTACTGAGCAGATATAACTTTGTTTTTCTGAGGTGGCATATGGTTAGGTCCTTTGTCATTTAATGTTAACGACGTGAACCCGATTTTCTAGAAATAAAATGTATTCCATTGAGTACTTTGATGTATCTGGTGTGACTGTGTACTTCACTCATCCTGAGTTGGCACAGAAAAGCAGAATAGATGCAGCCCGCCTAATAAACGTGCTGGATTGTGTCGTAGGGTGTTTACAAATAAATGCAATTGATCAATTTGATATGATGCAGTACGTCTACGATAGAATTTGATACATGTCAAAATTGTCTCCTTTCATTAGACACGTATTTTAAGATGTAGATACTTTTCGCCACTATGGACGCAATTTTGATCAAATAGGAGGAGGACTGAGAGGGATACAACGCCATAGCAGAAAGACCGAGATACTCAATAAAAATTTGCTCTACTCGTGAATGGTACTCTTTCTCTCTCTCTCTCTCTCTCTCTCTCTCTCTCTCTCTCTCTCTCTCTCTCTCTCTCTCTCTCTCTCTCTCTCTCCTACTTTTTCTCTGACTTTTATCGAATAATGCTTTTTCTTCTTACTTCCACCAAAGAATATGATGACGTGTAAAACTAAACACGCAGAGCTCTATTTAGAAGATATTCTGATTCAAATCTGGTTTCTTTCCAAGTAAATGAAGCTAAAAGGACTGCAATTAAAGCAGCATCAGTTTTGCTTTCCTGTGAAACTTCCACACACAGATTTCTGTGGTGTAGAGGTTAGGTGCTTTAAGAATTTTTTTATCGAGTATCTCGCTCTTTCTCCTGGGACGTTGTATCCCTCTAAGTTCGTGCTGGCCTTCCATCCAATGCAGGATCGAAGCCCACCTTCTAAGTGATCTAAATTATTGTGTCAATTGGGACGTATAAGACCTAGATCTATATTAAAAAAGAAAACATTGACAGAAAAGACAAAAAACACAGGCAAAACAAAAACCACCCATCCCTCCCCCCAACAACATAACGGATTATACTCACGCGGTCTGTCGTCTTCAGTTAAATCGTTTACTTCGGGCCTGAGTCTGCGCAGCAGTGGGTACGTTTCGTCAGTCTGCCATTTATCTTCTCGCATCGTGGTGGGGCGGATAGCGTAGCTGGCTGTCTTGCCCAGGCGGGTGGAGGTCGGTCCCACGTCGTGGAATTTGAAACACATGGGCATGTGTGCAATGTTGAGGCGATAAAAGTCGAGAAGTTGCTGATCTGTCTCAAAGCCTCGCACGCTCCATGTGGCTGTTTAAAAGGACAGTATTAAAATGAACAAAAAATAGAATTTGTTGACCTAAAGTTGACATAACTGTTAATTGTGTGTAGTAGAAAAGTCGGTAATGAGGATGAGATGAACTCCCCTTCCTGCCTTTCCCTCTTCTGCCCCCCCCTCCCCACATGCATATACTCACATAATATAAACAGACATGAGAATACAGACTTGTGTTCGGGCATTTTTTAATACTTTTTTTGCAACAACCCAATTGTAAGTGTCATAAAATAAAAACTAAGACTCATATAAAAAATCCAACAAGCCAAATTTAAGAGCTATATATTTACTGTCGGCATGCCAAATTAGAAGTGAATCAGTTGATAAATAAGGGAATAAAATGGGATTGAAAAAGGTATACAAAATCCAATATGGCTGCCGTTTCCATAGCAACAGATGCAAAATATACTTTTCGAACTATAGATTTCAAATCCCCAATTGCACACTATGTCCCGCAGCAAACATGTGCACTTTAGGCCTTGTAATAGCCAAAATAGACCTCAGATGTCCCACCAGCCCTTAAGGGATTAAAAGGGGGGGGGGGGGGGGGGGGGGACTACGCCACCAAAGTCCTGATTCGGCTTAAAAATTATGAAATTGGAGTTGTAAGCATTTTTAGCTTTCTAAGCCTTCCCTACAACTATTTCATCTCATGAGAATCCCCAAAAATCCGTATTTTTCCCCATACCGAGCATGTTTCTCACCACCATTTCCTCATAAAGTCAATATTTTTTTTTCTTTATTGACTGTTTTCTCAAAACTCGACTTTTGTCTATACTTTTTAAAAAATAACTCCACCATTTGTCATCAAATCTTCATGAAATTGTGACAGAATGAAGAGAAGACGTGATACTAAAACAATGTCAGTTGAATTTTTTATATATGGAATAGATTTTTGTTGGTGGTGTCTGGAGTATGGATTTTCACGGATTTTTTTGCAAATTTGAATGCTACCTCAGGAAAAAATTCATAAAAAGTTTTCTATTTCATTTAGGAAAAAAAATCAACACACACATTTGTAGATCTCTAATGTTTGTTAACACGCATGCAAAAAAACCCAAACATCAACAAACAATCAATTTCCATCAGCAATAAGTGCGATATTTATTATGTAGGGCATGTCAACAAAATCCAATTATAAGGCAGCGTATCCATGGAAACGAAACATTTTTCTCAAATTTGATTGCGGATTTTAAGCCTCCTTACTATGCTTGTTATATGGGTAACATTTGGTAAAATTCGGTCCAGTAACAAGCGAGATAGCCTTCAGGTGTAGCACCCCCCCCCCTTCTTAAAGACGCGCACTTTTTTGACGATATCGATTCATTTAGATTGCTGATTGACTGATAGCCAAAACGAATACCACCGAACAATATAAGTCCCCTCTGAGTTTTACTGGGGTTGAGACTTGTATATTATATGAATTGGATGGTTGGATACATTACATATTTTATTGAATGAAATGGTTCAGCAACGCCAATTTTTTTGATAGCTAGTTTTATAAAAATGCTTTAAGGTGTGTGTGGGGGGGGGGGGGGGGGGGGGGGGCTACACCCCCAAAGTCAAAATTCGGCTCAAAATCATGGAATTTGAGTTGTAGGCATTTTTAGCTTCCTCAGCCTCTCCTTCAACTATTTCATGGCATAAGAACCCCCAAAAATCGTAATCGTATTTTTCCCATACCGGGCATGTTTGTAACCGCCATTTCCTCATAAAGTCAGTATTTTATTTTTCTTTATCGGCCGTTTTCTCAAAATGCTACTTTTGTTTATACTTTTTTGAATAACTCCACCATTTTTCATCCAATCTTCATGAAATTTTCACAGAATGAAGAGAATAGGTAATACTAAAAATTTGTCTGTTGAATTTTTTATATATATGGAATAGATTTTTGTTGGTGGTGTCTGGAGTGTGGATTTTCACGGATTTTTCGCAAAATTGAATGCTACCTCAGGAAATAATTCATTAAAAATTTCTAATTCGTTTAGGAAAAAAACAACAGACAAATTTTTAGATTTAATGTTTGTGAACACGCATGTAAAAAAACAATCAATTTCCATGAGCGATAAGTGCGGTATTCATTACGTAAGACATGTCAATAAAATCCAATATGGCGGCGTATCCATAGAAACGAAACTTTTTTCAAAAATTTGATTGCGGATTTTAAGACTCCTTACTATGCTTGTTATATGTGTCAAATTTGGTAACATTCGGTCCTGTAATAAGCGAGATAGCCTTCAGGTGTAGCCCCCCCCCCCCCCTTAAATAGTTCACTGCACATTTGAGTAGGGAAAACTCTCTAGCCTTGGGTCAGTCATGGTGATAGTCAAAAGGAATGGTACTACTATTACACATTTCTTTTGTCGTCGAGTTGTAACTCACCATGTATCCGATTTATGGTCATTTATGGCACACTCACTATACTCTTGGGGCTCAATGAAAAACAGAAAAAAAAACCCCAAATAATTTTAATTCAGCACGTAAAAATGTCTCAAAATTGGAAAACAGATTTGTCTTATATTTTTAGTGATACTGAATTTTTATGGAAATGGTACGGAGTAATTTTTTCAAGGTGACTGCTACCATTAGATGGAATGAGAAATCTTATTTTATCGATATCGCCCAAAAAAAAGTATATATCAAATATGTAAAAAAGGTTGGCAAATGAGAGGAGAGAATACTCCCGCAACTTTTCCTCCTTACATGTTAGATTTGAAAGAATTCCCAAAAAGTGTTGACTATATTATTCCATGTACTCTTTCTGCTGGAGTTAACCAAGTGCTTAGTATTATGATATGTGAGGCAGCGTGGTAGAATCAGGCTCTCGTCAAAATAATCAAAGTGAAGAAACCTGCATTTTTCCTCAGGTTTGTGAATTTTTATCAAATTTTTGTTTTTTCGCTCAACACCTTTTATGCCCGTTAAAGAACTCATTTCTGTGTGGATTTTCTGAAAAACGTTGATTAAAGGCACAAAAAATGTAAATTTTCAGTTACCACGGACTCTTAAGCTAAGGAAATAACTTATCTTTGGTGGCCATTTTCTCACTAACTTTACCTTTGAAAACAGGTGACCCCAACCTTTTTCATTTGCAAATATCTTGACTTGTGTTCAAGATAACTTGATACCTTTTTACCCCAAAAAAGACAAGTGAACAAGCTTTAAGATGATACCAATAACTCTACAAGCCCAAAAATTGATGAGAGCCTGATTCCACCGCGCTGTCTCACATATATTAGTGAGTGTATAATATATGCAATAAAGTCAGGTTGGTTGTGACACTCTCTTACTGTAATTGACTTTGGTAATAGTATTTTTAATTCATAATAATCATTTTGTTCAAATCATCATTCTTTTCCAAAGCAAAAAAACCCATTTTACTCATTTCTTTTATTAAAGCATGCATTCTTGACATCCTTCTCTCTCTCTCTCTCTCTCTCTCTCTCTCTCTCTTTCTCTCTCTCTCTCTTTCTCTCTCTTTCTCTCTCTTTCTCTCTCTCTCTTTCTCTCTCTCTCATCCTCTCTTTCTATCTCTCTCTCCCTCTCTTTCCTCCTTCTCTTTGTCCCATGCACGCGAGCGTG